GTGCGGCTACTGGGATTAAGGTGTGTGCCATTGTGGCTACTGGGATTAAAGGTGTATGCTATTGTGACTACTGGGATTAAAAGTGTGTGTTACTATAATCTGGTCTCTAAGGCTGACCAGTGGGACTGTTTTACCCTCAGATCTTCTAGCAGTCTTTATTTATTAAAACACAATTGAAATGCCATTATACTCCATCCCTTCCTGCATCCACCCATTCATTTGTCCATCCATCCCTCTCTTACTTCCTTCTTTCCTTTTGTAAACCTTCTTTGGCAATTGTTGGTTATGGAATGTGTGACATTCTCATACTTGCCTATAACATGCTTTGATTATGCTCACCTCATCTGTTTCTTTCTCTCTCTTCCAAATCTTTATGTCCTTTCACTGTCACACCCTCCCCACACCACGACAATACTTGTTTTGTTAGTTCAGCCTTCTTCCTTTAACACCATAATCTCCAGTTTCTGATATATTCATGACACAATTTCATTTTTCTCCATTATGTATATACCATTTGTCCTTGTCTACTCACTCCTCTGTTGTTGTAGTCAGTGTTCTATTGCTGTGAAAACACACCATGACCACAACAACTCCTATAAAGAAAAGCTTTAATTGGGACTTTCTTAGAGTTTCAGAGGTTTAGTCCATTATCATCATAGCAGAGAGCATGGTTGCATGCAGGCTGAATGGTGCTGAAGAAGTAACTGAGAGTTCTACATCTGGATCCACAGGCAAGAAGAAGAGAGAGAGAGAGGGAAGAGCTACTGGGCCTGGCTTAGGCTCTCAAAATTATAAAAGCCACAGACAGTGACACATATCCTTTAAGAAGGCCACCTAATTCTTCTAAGTAGTGCTACTCCCTGATGACTAAGCACTCAAATATATGAGTCTGTGAGGGTCATTATTATTCAAAGCAACACATCTGTTGATGAGCACCCAGGCTGGCTCACTCCATAATTTAACTTATGTGATACAGCTGCAGTAGATGAGGTTATGAAAACATCTTTATAGTCACTACTCCTTACCCCTCACATCTTCATCCAGCTTAAGTCTGATAGTCAAAACTTGTTATCATTCTCATATACATGTCTCTATATCCCTTCCCTACCTATTATTACTTATTTGCTAAAAAAAATCTTTAAATAAAACCTTTAGTGTACTACATGCAAAGGTCCATGCACCTCAACCTCAATGCCCATCTCCACATTTAAAGCAATAGCCAACTCTCAGTTCTTGTCTTACATAACTAGTGTATTACTAAAGGTTTTCTAGAGTAGCAGAACTTAGAGAATGAGTCTATCTATTTATCTATATCATTTATCCACATATATATGCACACACACATATGAAGGGGATTCTTAGAATCACTATGGTTCAACTAATACAACAATTATTGACTATGAATGGAGAGTCAAAAATCGAGAAGTTGCAATCCTCAAGGCTGAATGTCTATGCTGGTTTTCAGTAGACACTGAAATTTCAAAGAAGTATGGTCTAATGCCAATAAAGGAATGGAGTTTTTAGTGAGGCAAGAACAAGAAGGCTCACTTCTTTGATGACACCATTTTGTCTCTCAGTTTTAAATCCAGAACCTTCCTTTCCACAATTCTCTGCAAAGGTACCTAACTTAGTGTGCATCCACATCTCTGTGCAAATTTCATCAATGTCTGAAACAATGATCCCACTCCTCAACTGCTCCCCAAAGCCCGACCCATCTCCAAATGTTCTCCATCTGTAATTATTCACCATAAAGTTTAACAATTACAAAAGAGGATAGAGTTGGATCAGTAGTTAAGAGCATATGCTACCCTTGCAAAGGACCTGACCTCAGCTCCCAGCACACATATGGGCCAGCTCAGGATTCAAAAAGGTTTGCTCTATCAGGCAAAAACCTGACTAATTAGGTCTGAGCATAAACAAAATAAATTAACTAACAGAAATCTTTTCGTTATATCCCATTTCTGCTTTCTATGTTCTTTCTAATCACACTGTTTGTTGTTCTTTGCTGCTGCTGTTGTTCTTGCTGTGCTTGCTGCTCTTTCCCCTCCCATGATGTTTCCAGTTTGTATAACCCACACAGGCATTAGGGATGGTATCAACATGCACTTCAGAATCATAAAAAAGATAAATATAACTCAAAAAAGCAGCACTCCAGGAAAAGATGACACCATTCAGGAAAAGTCAGTATCCAAGGGGAAATACTTGACATTCCAAACCATTAGATAAGATCAGTAGACTTTTCTGAACCTTGGACTCCACTCACCTCACTCCAATCTTAATTGGGATAACCAGCTTTGGTAATATCCAGACCTGTTTGTCAGTAAGAGCTGAAAGACTGTCTTCCTATCTTTTTAAAATTCCTATGTGGTCTATTAGCAAAGGTAATTGTGGGGAAATGGCTTTAAGTAGATATGACTATTAGACCCAAGAGTGGATGTTATCACTCTAAGGCCTCTTGGGACAGTCATTCCCTTGCCCATACAGGAGGAAAGTACATTGCTGAGGTATTTTGGGAATGAATCCCAATTTGAAGGGGAGAAGACTCATAGCTTTGCAAGGTTTCTCTAAAATTGACAGTGACTGTCCAAAATACAAGTGTTCCTGAAGCTCTACAAGTCAGGTCCCCCACAAATTGTACACTGTGGGTCTGTCTAAGAATCTTTCAGCTGTACACATGCTGTATAGCACTCCTTGCTCCAATACATACACATAAAATAAAAATCAATAGAATTTTTAAGAAATCTAGAACAATTTCATTAATTACAAAGCATTAAAGTTTAAAATAATACTTAATGACCTAAAATTCACTCTTATTTCTGCCATCAGTTCTGTTGAATTCTTAGGGTGGGTGACTGTCTAATTTACAAAAGCCCTTGTCTTTGCAACTGGAGATTTAGTCACTCTTTTGGTGCTAGATGCAGCATTTTAAGTTATTCTCCATTCCTACTGGATTTTTAATTTTGTTATATATTGAAGAAATATATTTAAGTCAAGATAGTTGAGCAGGGAAAGTTTTTAGACATAGGCCCCTTCATATTAACACTGGAAGCAGAAAGGAAGCAGAGATTCCTTATTATTTCTGCCAGAACTTCAGTGTAAAGGAACCTACTGATCATAAATGACTCAATACATCCTAGTGAAGCTTTTCAAAGTTCAGTTTTCTGAACTGTTCACAATGAAGACAGGAAGAGGCTTTGTTCAGCAAGGCTTTGTCTAAATCTTACAGTAATTATTATTCTCAAGCCATGATTTGTGGTGAATCTTAACCTTTTTCCTCTAAGTGAAAGTCCTCTTGCTGGTCACGATCAAAAACCATGATGAGATTATGGCCTTCTGTGTCATGTAGATGGATGCTATAAAATAGTCCCACACTACCTTAGAATCAAGTATAATAAAGGGTTCTTTTTAGGGGTAGATTCATAGATCACAGTCCTGGGCATGAGCAGGGAACAGAAACTGAACCCAGAAGTTGAGAAAAGGAGGCCTCACAAGCTTTACATTTATATTTATAGTAAAAAGAGGCCATGTCCAAGTAGACTGGTATCTTAAAGGTTATTGACTGAAGGAATTACCACAGCACCTCCCCCCTTTTGTCTAAATAAGAAGACTTCTAAGCCTAATACAAAACTATATACAATAAAAACAAGTATCAAGTATAAAAATTAGAATTACAACCAGCATAAACAATATCAAGCAAGAAACATATTCTAAATGTTTCAATAATTATCCTATCCTAAGGAATCTAAGTCTTGTATTAGAAATGACATGAGAGGGAAAATAACTACAATGATCTATTCTTCAACCCCAATGAAGACTTGAGAAGGGAAATAATAGTACTTGAGTAAACAGGAATTATAATCAAGCAACTTCCAAAATATGCAATAAATAACAGAGAAAACTGACTACCTGGGCAATCACCCACAGTCTCATTTGCAATATTGGAGCAACCAACTTTGGCTAAGGCCTAGAGTAACTGACAGACCATTTTCAGAGGCAGGAAAGTTTTCAAAACCCTCTTACCCTGTCTTGGCAAGGTTTAGTAGTCTTTTTTCTTGTATCCTGCTTGTTCTGTACAGACATTGTGCATTTTGTCACTGATTGAGGCATGGGCAGTTCTTTGCCCAAAGGCCAATTTTTCCAAGAAGAAAGCAAGCTCAAAATAAAGTGTCTCCAGTGCTCAACATTCTCTCAGGAATAGACGGGTGCTGCCACAAGCAATCATATCTGGCTCCAGATGTAGATAGATGCCATAAAGTAGTCCCACACTAGCTGAGGATTGATATAATAAAGAGTTTTTTATTTAAGGGTAGATACACAAATCACAGTTCTCTGCACAAGTGGGGAACAGGAATCAAATCCAGTAGCCAAGAGAGAGGATGTGCAAGCTTTACTTCTACACGTATAGTACAAGAGATCATGCCCAAGTAGGGTAATATCTTAAAGGCTATTGACTGAAGGAGTTCCCACAGAAGTGGCATTAGAAAATTTGTTTGAAGATCACTGATCTTTGTAATGTTGAGCCTGTACCAGCTAGGAGTCTGTGTTTCTCTGTTTTCAAGTTTCTCATACTGTCAAAACACTCAGTGAAAGTTTGTGTGTATCATCAAATGTGAATCTTGTGAATCTTAGAGACTGTTCCTATTATTTTGTATTTCCAGAGTTTTGTCAATCATGGTATAGATCAAAATCAGCCCATGACCTGAAGTCAAGAATGCTTTGTAGTGCATTTTTACATACAACCATGGAAGGTTCTAGAACCTTCTGGAAGCACAGCCTTGAGTCTGCCTAGCCCTTAATAAGCTGTCACCAAGGTTAGCCAGGCATGTCAGCTAGCATAGAGTGTTAGCCTGTCACCGTGCACTAACACAGAGAGTTACCCTGGCACTGCCAACAAACACAAAGGGTTGGCCTGGCATTGTCAGCTACCATGGAGTATCAGGATGGCACTGTTCACTAAGGCAGAGTATCTGCACCACCCGTTTCATTTATTTCTGCCATAGGAAAGAAGACGCGAGTTTGAACTAAATCTCAGAAAAACTGGTCTTGAGTTGGAAATTGAAGATAAAATGGTAACTATATCTGATAAATTATGCAAGGATTTTATTTTAAGTGGGTTTTTCTTTTATTCATGTATTTGGCTAGATAGATACTGGGTTTGGAGCAATAAATAAATCTTTTGGCTACAGAAATATGCATGGAGCCAAGAAGTCCTGCATTTTCACAGTCAGTGAGGTGACATTTCAACGAAGCTTCTTAAAATGTTCAGGAGCATAGGAAGTCGAAAAAAGGCCAATCTGTAAAGTGTTTGCCATACAAATTTCACCCAGAAACCATATAAAACTCTGGATATGGTAATATGTTCTTATAATGCCAACAGTGGTAAACAAGAGGGCCCCTGGGACATAGTGTCCATCGAGTCTACCCTCACTGGTGAGTCCCAGACCCAGTGAAAGACCATCTCAAAGCAAACAAGCAAACAAGCTAGATGACTCCTATGGAGCTACACCCAAGACTACCTTCAGTCACTCACACCCACACACTACATATGCAACATTGGGGACACACACACACACACACAACGTACTTTCCACTAAGGGTATAGAAAAATGAAGAACTTTGTTTACATAGCTGTTTTACCTTGATGCTGCCTGACACATTGCACACTGGGCCTGGCTGCCTTGCAGGATAACCACTATTTAATCCATGGTACTCTGTTCATGAATAGGTGACATTATTTTATTCTGTAACTGCATTCATGTTTATTACTGCTTCTCTGCAATTACCTTTAAAGTTGTGTTTAAAACCTTACTTAAGATCATATTCTATCTGTGACTCTTCTGATATCCTCCAACTTTGTTTTCATTTTCTATTATTTCTCATCAGTTTTTACTGATCCAATCAATAAATGTGTGTAATAGAACACAAAATATAACTTACTTTCCTTTGTAGTGGACCTTCAGGTGAGGTCTATGCAGGAACTGTGGAAGAAGAGTGGGGATATCTAACAGCATGCATATAATATAATGTAATGTAGTACAATGTAATATAATATAATATAATACAAATAACCTCATATGATTATCTAAACAATATCCTGAGGTGATGCTCATCAAAACCTATTATAGTGTCTAGAATTATATATACAATTATATATATATATCGCGTGAATCAGTCTAGAGCTGAGTAAACTAGACACACTAAAGTATATTATAGATGATATTCAGTATATTTATGCTAGTATAGTCATATATCTGAAGTATATTTCAAACAAAATTCTCTCTCAGTCTCCATGTGTCTCTGTAGCACTCCTCCTTGTGGCATGCATATATTCACAATTATATATTACATATATGTTGATTCCTATGTTAGTATATGTCTTAGTTTCTTTTCTTTCACTATGATATAATACCATGGCCAAGGCAACTTATAAAAACAAAGTTTTTGGAAGAGCAATGATTTCAGAGGTTTAGAATATGTGATAGAGGAGCACTTTGTAGATGCAGGAACAGTTGAGAGATTCCATCTTGATCCATGACAGGAGGAAGAGAGTAAGGCACTGGACCTGAAGTATGCATTTGAGACTTCAAGGCTCTCTCCCAGTGACACACTTCATCCAACAAATCCACACTTTCTCATCCTTCTCAAATAATTCCACTAGCTAGGGACAAAGCACTCAAACATATGAGCCTATGGGAGCTATTCTCCTTTAAACCACCATAGTACACACACATAAACATCTTAGAGGAATCTCATTTCTTAAAAGTTTTGCTTAAAAAATGATTAAATTGAAAATTTATTTTCATCATTGAGAATTTGAGATTTGATTTATTTAATTTTTACCTTTCTTTCACTCTGTCTCTTTTTTTATGCAGAACTCTGAAGATGGAAAAACCTTTTTTGTGAAGATCCACGCCCCATGGGAGGTCCTAGTCACTTATGCTGAAGTGCTGGGAATCAAGATGCCTATCAAGTTGAGTGACATCCCACGGCCAAAGTACCCACCTCTGAGGTACATGCTCGGGCCTGTGAAGCTCCCGGCCACTGTGAAGTACCCCCACCCTGAGTATTTCACTGCCCAGTTCAGCAGACACCGTCAGGAGCTCTTCCTCATTGAAGACGAGGCCACTTTCTTTCCATCTTCAACGAGAAACAGAATTGTAAGTAGTGAAGG